ACATGCTGAAATAAAATAACCATTATTTCCTTTCATTTAGGATGGAAATAAGAAATTGACGGGTCAGGTGCAGTGGCTAAAGCCTGTAGTATTAGCACTTTGGGAGGCTGATGTGGGAAGATCGCTGGAGGCCAGGAATTGGAGACCAGCCTGGGCAATAGCAAGATCCCATCTCTGGGGGGTGGGGTTGGGGGTGGATTAGCTGGGTGTGGTGGCAGGCACCTGTAGTCCCAGCTATTTAGGAGGTTGAGGCAAGGAGGATCGCTTGAGCCCAGGAGTTTCAGGTTACAGTTAGCTATGATTGTGCTACTGCACTCTAGCCTGGGCAACACAGTGAGACCCTGTCTCAAAAAAAACAAAAACAAAAAAACTGATGTTCCCTCTTTGTGAAAAATGGTTATCAATATGTGTAAATAAATCATTGGAATCACAGCGTGTTAATGGCTTAGCATTATCCCCTACAAACTTACCGTATTCACAGGACTGCTGTAAATCAGAAATTATCCGAAGGATGTTATTCATTAAATTTGATCTTTGTTCATTTTCTAGAATGCTGCCAGTTGATGGGTATGCTGAATCAATGTATGTTAAATCTGACAAATAGATACCTGAAACAAAATTAGATAAATGAATGTTTTCTTACTTGCCTAGTTTGGACAAGCATGACAAAGTAAAGGGAGGAAAAGCTTGTTTATAGATATATTCTAATGTATGCCATATTTAGAATATACTGCTATTAATATACTGAAGCCTTGCTAAAACATGACCACCGGGGCCTAGTTTTCTGTAAAGTGGGGGTCAGACATGCAAATGATATGATTTTTTGTAATTGTTTTCTTACGATACCATTTTCAAGTATGGTTTGAGGCTGGAGTTAGAAAATCCAGCACATATGGGACTTAATGGAAAGAAGCCAAGCCCTTGAGCTGGCTCTGCCTCTGATTAGTTGCATAGAGGAGACAGTTATTTTATCTCTGAACCTCAGTTTTTAAATCTATATAACAAGCAGTGTCTATTTTCCAAGTTGTGTTATAGCCTGAAGAAGTTAGCTTAGGCAGCCTAGCCAGTACCCTCAGATGGGGGACGTTATTTAATATTAGTTTATAACCTCTTGCTTTGGGTTGATAAACTACTGTCATTGGAGACTTAAATACTTTGAAAATTGTCTCAATCTGGTAGAAATGTCTTACGTTTTAAAGATCAACAAATGGATTTCTGAAACAGTTCATGTGACTACAAATTGAAGTTAACTCTTTCCTATCCCTTCCCCACATTCTCTGTACTAACAAAAATAACACATCCCCTAAAGTAATTTGGTTGTACTCACCCTGAACATGGAAGGTCACTCACTTAAAAATTTTTCCTGAGAGTTCACTATGCATATGTAAAATGTTTAAGACAACTATAGTTGGAGAGAAAAAAATATGTATTTTCCTACTTTTACCTCATTACCCATGTCATGAATTCTCAGAGTAAATGCAACCAAAATGACATATCCACTGTCTTCTAAATAAGCCCTAAGTTTTAATTCATGCCATTTTCCTCCACCTTGAATATTTTCTAGACTTATCTCTGCCCATCCAAATCTTGTATCTTATATGTCCAGTTCACTGTTAACGGTTCTCTAGTTTTCTCACAGCTGCCAAGAAAGGAATTTAGAAACTGTCTAGCCTAACCCCCGCTTTTTTATATATGAAGAACCTGATTGAAAGGATCCGTCTAATGCTATGCAACCTGTTAGGCAGTGACTCAGCTGGATCTTAGAGGTTTCACTTGTAGCGCAGGTTTTTAAAAAAATTACATTCTGTTAAAAACTCATACATTATCTGTACCATTCACTCAATAACTTTTATGACTTTATAATCTTTTTACTTTCTCCTATTTATACCATATCTGATCAAGACTATAAACTCATTTAAGGCAGTTGCTCTGTCTTACATTCTAAAAAGAAAGACCCTTGCAATGATTTCACAATAGGTGTTTAATATACCATAAAAGGTTGGCATGGCAATCCTTTTACTCATCCTGGTATCCTTCACTTTCCAATCAGTAAATCTTTACAGTATTCTTTAAGCCACCTATCATAAATACTTTTTCCTTAGAAAATCTCAACTTTTTTCCCCCTACAACTCCAAATACTTCTATGCCTAGGTTCTTCCTACTTCCTCCAATCTCAAAGAAGAATTCTCTTTTTTCTCCAAATCTAAACTGTGATTCTGTATGTAATTAGTGCCGCCTCCTTCCAAATACCCACTGTTGCCTCTACTATCACTTGTCCCAACTAGCTCCTTTCCCAGAGCCAATATACACATTTAAAACTCCCCTATTTGGGAAAACAAAATCAAAGAAACCCTTCAAATCTGATCCCCTTTTCAAGATACGACCCTTGCCTTCCTCCCTTCAAACAACTTGAAAGAGAAACATAGAATAGTACACTTATGTGTAATATTATGTAATATTATGTGTAATATTTGATACACATAAAAGTTTACATGTGTCAGGAAAAACTGAAAGATTTTGAATAAGCAAAAAAGATTACTTGGTATCCTGTATTCAGTGCATTCTTTTGACCCTTTTGAGCTATTTTATTTTACAACTCTGTAAGATGTTGTAACTTGGTAATAATACAAATTCTTGTCCCTAAACTTACCAATAAATTATATTCAGTGGGATATAATTGATTATTGCCTAGTTGCTGTTGACCAATTTTGCAACTATTTGTAAATTTATTTCAGCATTCTTAATTGCCTATGTGTGTGTTACTTTGAATTCTCCCTTGAAATGGATTTTTCTGATTCCCTTATAAATTTAGTGATTTAAATATAATAAAATATTTAACATGTATTCATTTTTTGTGAGAATCATTTTATCTTTTAAAGAATTATCAACACATGCAATAGCTGTTATTACCAAACAATATAATAAACATTCGTGAAGACCAGTCAACATAGGAACGACAACAGCCCTAAGGAAAGCTGAGAGTCCTCAAGGAAATGACACAGGGATCCCAGCATATGTGCGTTGATAACAGCAATAAGAGATATGTTAAAAGTAACACAGAAATGGTTGAAAGGAAGCTTTATGAAAATTCTGTACAAAAAAATATTCTCTGCTGATGGGATCAGGGAAGGCTTTAAGGAAGAAGTGGGATTTCAGCTGGTCACTAATGTGCCAATTTTTCCCATTTTTCCATTAAATCCAAATGACAACACTCACTCTTTATAACTGTTGTCCCATATGAGAGCCATTTGCCACATGTGACTATTATTTCAAATGTGTTTATTCTGAATGTGTTTAAGTTAAAAAATAGATAAATTTTGAATGATAAAATAAATTTTAAATTTAGTATGAAAAATTAATGTAAAATATCTCATAATAATAACATATATTGGTTATATGTTAATATTTTAAATATATTGGGGTAAATAAAATATATTACTTAAAAAAAGAACTACATCAATACTGTTCCATCTATTTATGTTCCCTGAAATTTAACATTATTCTCATTTTTTTCCACAAAAACATGTCTGTATACCTGCACAATATATTATTTACTTTTGCTTATTTTTGAGCTTTAAAAAATATTTTAATGTATGTGTGGATTAAATAACAATATTCATAAAGTTAGAAAAGTGTTTAGTAGACACCAAGTGATTTATAAGCATTTGTTAAATAAATTGTAAACATATGGTCTTCTGTGATTGCTTTGTCTCATTACTTTCTTAGACTTATCTATGCTGTTAAATGTAGCTATAATTCCTTAAATTGAGAATAAACTAATGTGTGACTATATTACAATTTACTCATTCATTTTATTTGATAGTTTCTGCTGATCCACATTTGTACTAATGCTTGGTATCATCAATCTTAATTTTTGCCAATCTTGTGAGTATAAAATGGTATCTCCTTGTGTCTTAATTTTCATTTCCTTGATCAGTAATGAGGTTAAACATTTACATTTCTATGTAATGTTTTTGTCCTTTTGTTCCCTCTTGGATTGTCTTTTTCTTATTGAGTTCTAATTTTTTTAAAAAAAATTTAACATGTTTTATTTGCACAAAGAACAATTGTTTCTTTTTTTTGCGAGACACTGTCTTACTCTGTCACCTTGGGTAAAGTGCAGTGGCATTGTCATAGCTCACTGCAGTCTTAAACTCCTGGGCTCAAGTGATCTTCCTGTCTCAGCCTCCCAAGTAGCTGAGACTACAAGCCTGCACCACCATGCCCGGTTAATTTTTCCGTTTTTAGTAGAGGTGGGGGTCTCGCTGTTGCTCAGGTTGGTCTCGAACTCCTAAACTTAAGCAATTGTCCCGCTACTTTTGCCTCCCAGAATGCTAGGATCACAGGCATGAGCCTCTAATTTCTTAATATATTGTGGATACTGATTTGTCAGTTAAATTTTATACAGTCACTCTTCAGCCCACTAAATAATCTGAAATGTATAGCTATCATGATGCTGAAACTTATTCTGGCAAAGGCATTAATGATTTTTCCTCATTATAAGTTTTTAAACCTCTCTCTTGATCTTCCCTCCTACTTAATCTCTCTGTAGTATTTTAATCATCCCCTTCTAGCTCTCTGGTTTTTCCTACCTTACTTTCCTAGCCTCTCCCTCCCCCCATCATTCTTCTTTTTCCTCATGTTTCCTGGAAATTGGTATTACCCATGGTCTGTCATTAATCTTCCTTTCATTTTACATTTACTTTCTCTGTAGTATCTTTTTTTTTTTTTAGACAGAGTCTCACTTTGTTGCCCAGGCTAGAGTGAATGCTGTGTCCTCAGCCTAGCTCACAGCAACCTCAAACTCCTGGGCTCAAGTAATCCTGCTGCCTCAGCCTTCCGAGTAGCTGGGACTACAGGCATGCGCCACCATGCCCAGATGCCCAGCTAATTTTTTCTCTATATATTAGTTGGCCAATTAATTTCTTTCTATTTATAGTAGAGACGGGGTCTTTGCTCTTGCTCAGGCTGGTTTCAAACTCCTGACCTAGAGCAATCCGCCCGCCTGGGCCTCCCAGAGTGCTAGGATTACAGGCTTGAGCCACCACACTGGGCTGTCTCTGTAGTATCTTAGTTCTGTAACTTCAGTTACCACCTAATTCCGATGACTTTTGAAATCTCTCTACATAACTAAGCTCCCGGCTTTCATTTTCAATCTAACATGCCTAACTATTATTTGTCCCTAAACAACTGTCATTCCAATTTTCTGCCTTGGTTAGTGATATTACTAATTGCTTAAGTTAGATATTGCTTAAGTTAGAAAGCTCAAGATTGCTCAAATTAAAAAGCTCAGGACGAATTTTTTACTATCTCATATTTCCCTCAAATAAAACTATTAGTGAATACAACATAATCACTGAATGATCAAGAAATTATACATAATATATATATATGTATATATATTATGTACACAGGCTAGAAGCTGGCAGTTCATCTGACTCAATATTTGTAACTCAGGAAATATGACAGGAAAAATCTAAATGACTCTCTTTTCCCGAAAAATGGGAAGGGCTAGCAATATTGTCTCATAATCCTTAATGGCCACAATGAGGCACAACTGAGAAGGTATAGGCAGATCCCTTTAAATTAACCATAAGGATGCCAGTTTGATATAATCTTGATTTTCCTCTATTATTTTACAGCTGGCTTACTTTACTCATTTATATTACCTGCTTCATTTTTGTTGTGAGCATTTGCCTTTATAGGCCCTTAAATACCTATGCATGCTATAGGAATTCAAAGAAAGAATTCTGTGAAAGAGGTAGAAATTAATCTCAGATTTTGAATAAAGGATGTGGACTGACAATGTGCCCTATCTGAAAGAGAAAAACAGCACAAGCTAAGGCAAGGAAGAATAGGAAGTAGAAGTCCAAAAATTTTATCCAGAAGCAGCATTCAGCATCTTGGTAATCCAATGAGAGGCAGCGTGGCATGATGTGGCGTGATGCTTTGCCATAATATTCAAATCCCAGTTCCACTACTTAAGTACCAAGCCAAATTACTTAAGATGCTTAAGTTTATGTTTCTTCAGCTATTGGGTTACTTAATTAACATTTCTTCAATTAATGAAATATGATAGCATAGTTGATACTCAACACTAATTCCCTATCTAATACTGTATTTTCATAGCAGAAGAAACTGGGCCAGAGTTAGGTACAGTGATTTGTCTAAGTTCACATAGTTTGTGGTGAGTCAGAGCTCTCTTGTTTTTTACTCAGTTCAGGGTTATGCTTGTTTTTAAGCCACAACACATCTATTAATAACAAGAACAACTCACACAGAGAAGAGAGGTCATTCTGTAGAATAGGAGGATGTGACATTATATAACACCAGAATTTAAGATTAAAAAGTATTAAATATCTGAAAGAATTTCACTCATTTTTGGTGATTTCACTTATTTTTGGTAATTATATATACAAGTAGTTTTCTCTTAAGACACATTATATAGTAGATACAACATATTACAACATCATCAAGTTTTTTATAAGTTAAAAACCTTTTGAAATAGCAACTTAGTAAAATGTTTAAAAATTCTTCTAGGCTATAAAGAGTATTATATTATTTAGGTGGCTGCCTCCTGACAAAGTCTAGCTCTTGTTCTTTGTTAACAAAAACTAAACTCATCAGCGTACAACTACTTCTAAGTGAAGTTGAGTACTATTTTTTCAGTATTCAACTTAAAAGATCTCTGGCCAGCGGACAAAAATGTTTGTTTTACAATTGCCTGCTGAACTATGATAGCCTGTTTCCAGATGGTGCCCTTCCTTCAACCTGCACAATCTCTCCTTGTTCGAAGCTATTCAACCTCCCGCTGATCCCACTACCCCCACCTCTATTTAAGGCTACAGAGAGGAAATCTTAAGTCTCTAGCAATTTTTTGGTGATGTAATATGTGGGCTGAACTTGAATCTACTGAGAAAGAGGGAATCACTATTCTAGGGTACTGTATATACAATCTGGGTCAGCTGCAGCTGGTTACTGCATTTCTCCATGTGGCAGGCAGAGCAAAGCCACAATGCTTTCTCTGCCCAATTAAAGACAGCCCACAGACCAGAACTTCCACTAGACTACTAAAAATTACATAGGTGGCTTGTCAAATTCAATTGATTAGTATTGTAAAAAGAAAAAGAAGTTCCTTCTTACAGCGTGGATTCAACGGTCCAAAACAAAAATGCAGCTGCATTAAAGTCACAGATGAACAAACGTCTACACTGATTTTAAAAATCAAGAATAAGGGCAAGTTACTGGATTCACTTTGTCAACAGATACAAAAAGGTACTGAATATTTCTTTTATTTTAAAATATTGTATATAAAAATGCATAATTATTTTATATTGGTAGTAAAAATTTCAGAATTTCTTATTAAACAAAGAACTTTGGAACATACTATAATTTATCATCTGAAAAAGGTTTGTTTTGGAACTTTATGTGGAAATATTAAATAATTTATGATGGTTAATGCATTCTTTGAGATTCAACTTAATGATATTTATTGTATATGATTATAAACTGAAATTCATACTGGGTTTCTGAAAACTAGTGCTTTAGTGAAACTTGAAAGAAATGTTAAAAAGTAACAGTAAATGTTTAAGGTTTATAGCACGATGATTACAAACAAAGGAATACAAACTAAAGAAAATAACTGTAAATATAATTAGTTTCCCTTCTCACAGCTTTAGTGTATGTGCTGAAGATATATATAAACTGTTGGGTTTCTCAAAGTATAGTTACAAAACAAAGGTGAGAAGACATAAAAATAACCAAAAAGCTTTGCAACAAAACCTGAATTACAGCATAAGCAAATACTAGGCAGAAATTCTTGTACAGATTTAAGAAAAATCTAAGGTATTTCTTGCTAAAATCAAAATTTTAAATAGTTTTCCAGGTTAACATGTAACAGTAATTTAATTTGGGTGACAAATTAAACCTGCTACAAATGGAATTACTTGGAAAAGCAAAGTTATTGATACACATACAAAAGAGTATTATGTAAGTAGCGAGTATTAACAATAGAAAATAAAAACCCTTCTAAGATATAAGTTACTTGTATACTAGATTAAAAGGCCCAAAATATAGAATAATTTTAGATAGAAATAATTTTGGTAAGCAAAAAGGTTTTCTTCAATACAAAGGTTTCTATACAAAAAAGGTTTCCTTCAATATTCTATCTGGGAGCTTGTTTTAATTGTGTTATGAAAACTATTAAAAGTAAAATCACCAGTTACCAGTAGTAAGCTTTAACATCAAAGACACGTAGGTTTATTATGATTTCGAGATTCCCTGGCTTTTTAAAAATTAAACATATTAATGGTAAGAATCTCTGACAGCAAATAATGCTAAGGCTAAAATTTTTTCCAACTTTGTTTTCATGTCCTTTCCTTAAAGATTCAAAACTCTAAATACTGGAAGGATCCTTGTTAAACATACTTTACAAGAAATTTGGATAAAATTTCTAAGCAATACTAAATCTAAAATACTGTCATCTCTCATTTTTGTTGTCACTATGAAAAGTGCAGGACTTCATAAAGCCTCAGTTCTTACTGATGCCTTAGGCAAGCATTTAATCTGAAACCCAAATCACACAGATAACTATTTATCCCTTTCTTAAATATATCCGGGGGATTAGACTGTTCTCAAGTCTCTTCCCAGAACATATTTCACAATCCAGAGGTTCTATATCTAACATATCCTCAATGCTTCATAAATTTAACTTCATTGCCTCTTGCTGTTTTCAGTGCATGACCCAGAGAGTTAGATGCCTCTATGAGTTTACCATCTGAAAGGAAGTAAATCCTGACTTTTATTTCTTCTCTAGGCTGGCAATGTAGCAACTATGAAGAGACTAATAAAATTAACCGAATACATAGAAGACTTTTTTTTCTTTTCTAAAAACAACCAAGCAAAGACATAGTTAACTTAAGTATACTGTAACTAATTTATAACATTCTCTTGGGACATAGGAAAATTTTACCATACACAGAAAGGTTTTATGAGGTAACACAGATTTATGAATCTTTCACTTTAAAACTGAACATATGTGGGAAAATATTTAAGAGAATGTTTTTAGAAAATTTAACAGTAATGTGTTTTTAAAACCAGTTATTTAGGCATGACGTAGCTAGTCTACTACTTAAGAAATGTGGCCCCTTGCTTTACTTTAAGTGACAATGAAGCCATTACTTTTGTAAGACGAAGGGAATTATATTTATTTTTAAAAATAAACTTTTAGTTGCTTCCTTTAAATACTAACTTAGATTCTCTTATGGTTGACAGTGATTTATATTATGATTTAATCTTACAGGAACCACAATAAACCAAGAAAGAATACACAAAAGGAAGCTGTTTCTGTTTTAATTTAGATTAGCATTTTAATGTCTTTTGTTCTTCAATGATAACACTGATTCAAAGTCACAACAGCACTCTTGGATAATATGCTCTTAGCTGTTCTATAAATATGTGTCTGGTATTAATATAAGCTATTAAATCAGAATATTGTTCATAAAATTCTACTTGTTTTGAAGTTTCATGATAGTTTCTGAATTTTCCTTGTTTTGGTAGCTGATATCATAGTGGAAATTATTCAAACAAAATAATTTTAGGACCTAAGAGTTTCCATTCTATTATTAAACTGAAACAAGTGGAATTTAGCACTGGGTAAGTTAAATATGTAGGATAAATTATATATATTTACACCCAGGAGGTACGTGGCTTACATTTTAAGGTCCTGAGTTTAAGAAACCATATCTAAATTCCATGAATCTGAAAATATAAGAATAAATCTTTTATCAGTTTTGATGTAGGTAACTCTTATGTAAGTCTTTTTTTCTAAATTTTCTATAGATGTCAGAAGGTGAGGTGTGGCACAAACTAAAAGTATTCATCCATGTGTGCTTCGGACATTAGTCACCAAAGGCAGCCTTGGATCAATGATGACTCCCGTATTGTTTTTAAAAAGGCCTTGATACGAATATGAATAAGCCCATCCTCCCTATCTTTTTTTAATCCATCTTGATAACTTAGTAAAAGAAAAATAATTCTCCACACTCCATACATTCTTTGCTTTATCTATTTTGAAAACATACTCAATTGAAAACAGCAAAAATAAGGAGACATGGTTTTAGAAAGTGAAAGTAGCAGTAGTCTTCCTGACTGTAGCTGCAAAGTCTATATTTCATTCACATAAATCTTTATTTTGGGGAGAGATCCATAATCACAAGTTAGAGACAGAAATACCAATTTACAGAATACATACAGAGGGAAAAGAATGACAGCACAGAAGTCCAGGATATAAAAATGATGTAAACGAATTCTATCAAAAATAATCCACACATACTTTTGCATAATTAACTGGTCAATGAAGAGAGATACAAATCAGGAAAAGGATGCCAAAAACAAGAAAATTAAATTAAAACTCCTCCATAGTTATAAGGATAAAAACTGTAAGTCTAGAAAAGTTAGGAGTAGAAGGTTTGAGTCTTATTTGAGCAGTTTAGCTTCTCAATGACTTTACTCCTTTGTAAAATTTTTTTTTTTTTTGAGACAGAGTCTCACTTGTTGCCCAGGCTAGAGTGAGTGCCGTGGCGTCAGCCTAGCTCACAGCAACCTCAAACTCCTGGGCTCAAGCAATCCTCCTGCCTCAGCCTCCCGAGTAGCTGGGACTACAGGCATGCGCCACCATGCCCGGCTAATTTTTTCTATATATATTAGTTGGCCAATTAATTTATTTCTATTTATAGTAGAGACGAGGTCTCGCTCTTGCTCAGGCTGGTTTCGAACTCCTGACCTTGAGCAATCCGCCCGTCTCGGCCTCCCAGAGAGCTAGGATTACAGGCGTGAGCCACCGCGCCCGGCCTGTAAAATTATTTTATTATCAGCATTTACTTCATAGTATTGTTGTGAATGCAAATAGTTAACATGTATTAAATGCTACGTAAATATAAAGGATTGTCACAGTGTGATTGATAGAAAATAATTTAGAATATACTGCCATATAATGTAGTAGTTAATTAAAAACATGAACTGTAAAGTTTTCTGTATCGGTTCAAATTCTGTCTCCATTGCTTAGAAGCTGTGTGACTCTTGATAATAATGTACTTAACTTCTGGATGTCAAATTTTTCTTCTGAAAATGGGATGTAATAATCTACCACACACAGTTATGGTAAGAAGTAAAAAACGTAAAGGGCTTAAAATAGTACCTGCCACTGAACAAGCACCCATCAAGTATTAACTACTATTATTGTTGTGTTGTTATTAATAATAGGCACAACAACTTAGAACCTGGCTTCTCTATCAAGAAACAAGTAATTAGGTGGAAAATTGAATAGAAAAGATCTATCTTAGGCTATCCACTGCCATCCTTCAAAAACAGCAGATAGACGGCTGGGTGTGGTGGCTCATGTCTGTAATCTCAGCACTCTGGGAAGCCAAGGCGGGTGGATCATTTGAGCTCAGGAGTTCAAGACCAGCCTGAGAAAGAGTGAGACCCCGACTCTACAAAAACAAAAAACAAAAACAAAAAAAGAAATAAATTAGCTGGACAACTAAAAATATATAGAAAAAATTAGCCGGGCATGGTGGCGCATGCCTGTAGTCCCATCTACTCGGGAGGCTGAGGCAGGAGGATTGCTTAAGGCCAGGAGTTTGAGGTTGCTGTGAGCCAGGCTGACGCCACGGCACTCTAGCCTAGGCAACAGAGTGAGACTCTGTCTTGAAAAAAAAAACCAACAAAAAAACCCTGCAGATAGGAATCAAGTTTGTAAAAGTCGGAAGGTAGGCTGCAATATAGCAACTTGCTAGTGAACCTGATGGAACAAACACAAGTTACCCATTCTACTACTACCGTGTTTCCCCGAAAATAAGACCTACCCATAAAATAAGCCTTGGCAGGATAGGATTTCTAAGCATTTGCGCAATAGAAGCCCTACCCCGAAAATAAGACCTAGTTATGGGCGTGGCTACGCAGCGCATCTGCACAACCCATGCATGTCGTCGCAGAGTGCAGAGTGGGAAAGAAGATGAGCAGCCCTTCTCATCTGCCCCAGGAGAGCTAGCTCTATTTCTTGACATGGGAGATTGGGGCCAATGGTTCTAAAGGAAATAGAGTCGCAAGAAATTTAGGATGGAATTCGGGGTTTGGAGAATTATGATGATGTTCCAGAAGAAGATGACTTCACTATATTTGAATAAATGTAGATTGTTGTACCATGCTTAAAAAAAATAACATGCCTTGAAAATAAGCCCTAGGGTATCTTCTTGAGGAAAAATAAAAATAAGACCGTCTTATTTTCAGGGATACATGGTAGTACATTTTTGGGAGGTAACTAAAGAGAAAGGAAGTCTTAGTTCTTGGAACTAGTTCTAGTGTTTCCTCAGAAGAAACTGTACGCTAAAGAACAAGTATTTCTCATCTGCCACAGCAAAAACAAAACATTCCAAGCACAGCTTTTGGCATACAAGTCGCTGCTATAAATACTGACTAAGGGTCAGGGAACCCAATCTACACCAGGTTCTAAAATTTGTGTGGCCTTGGCCTTCAACATAGGTGTAAAGAGGTTCTTGAATGAGATGGTCTCCAAGGCATTTTCCAACTCTAACATTCCTATTCAATTATAGATACGTTTCTTTCCTTGGTAATGGATATGTAAAGTTATTAATATTTTACTAAAATATATTTCAGTAGAACCTCTGTTAGAAGAATGAACCTTTAGAATCATCTATAAGCTTAGAGCATATATGTAATTATGGTTTAGGAAACACAATTACCCACAATAATGACTATGAGTAGTCTATCATTCTTAAACTTGTCACCAATCACAATAAGAGATGCTACAAAAACAAAAAACAACATATGATGCTAAAATTGTCTAGTTTGAGATTTGTCTAAAATGTTTTTTTAATTTGATAGGTAAAAAAGACATGGTATTTATAACAGAGGACCAATTTAATTGAAACTGTACAGTATGAATCTAAAACACTGACTAGTAAAGTCACCTGGTAATTTTTATACTAGTTAGGCAAGAATGTTTTAATTAAGGCCTTACTAACACTGTATACCATTTTCATAGTCTTAAGGTAATAAGCTTCTTAAAGATAAGAAAGGCGTCTTATCAGTATCTCAAAAGCCCCAACAGCACCTCACAGGGTGCCTTCATACACAGTGGGCACCAACCAAAATCTGCTCAATGAGCTGGGGAACGAGAAGCATTACAATGAGGTGGTACCTTGAAAAGCTATTCTCCGAAACCTAATATTTAAAAAAAAATGCCAAGTACTGTAACTTAAAATTGAATTTAAGAAATTAACAAAGTTAATCTGGCCTAATTTATTAACACTGATAAATATTTGGTTTTTCCATTAGTTTTTATATGTAGATTAATATGAATTCTTTTTACTTTTTCCCTTCACTGATTTGTTTTTTTCCCCAAAAGACACTGTTGTACAACCTCATCTCAAAATGAAAGCTTTTATCTGGACGCTAGGTGTGCTATTCTTCCTCCTAATGGGCATTGGACATTGCAGAGGAGGACAGTTCAAAATAAAAAAAATAACCCAGAGAAGATATCCTCGTGCCACAGATGGTAAAGACGAAGCAAAGAAATGTGCATACACATTCCTGGTACCTGAACAAAAAATAACAGGGCCAATTTGTGTCAACACCAAAGGGCAAGATGCAGGTACCATTAAAGACATGATCACCAGGATGGACCTTGAAAATCTGAAGGATGTGCTTTCCAGGCAGAAGCGGGAGATAGATGTACTGCAATTGGTGGTGGATGTAGACGGGAACATTGTAAATGAGGTAAAGCTTCTGAGAAAAGAAAGCCGTAACATGAACTCTCGTGTTACTCAACTCTATATGCAACTATTACACGAGATTATCCGTAAGAGGGATAATTCACTTGAACTTTCCCAGTTGGAAAATAAAATCCTCAATGTCACCACAGAAATGCTGAAGATGGCAACAAGGTACAGGGAACTCGAGTTGAAATATGCTTCCTTGACTGATCTTGTCAATAACCAGTCTGTGATGATCACTTTGTTGGAAGAACAGTGCTTGAGGATATTTTCCCGACAAGACACCCATGTGTCTCCCCCTCTTGTCCAGGCGGTGCCACAACACATCCCTAACAGTCATCAGTATACTCCTGGTCTGCTGGGAGGTAATGAGATACAGAGGGATCCAGGCTATCCCAGAGAGTTAGTGCCGCCACCTGATCTGGCAACTTCTCCCACCAAAAGCCCTTTCAAGATACCACCAGTAACTTTTATCAATGAAGGTGAGTTACTGTTAAAAAATGAAAGTATTGGGTTAATATGTTTTATGAAACAATGCTCATAATAAATGCTTATTCTTCATTTTAGTGGAGTTACACACATATTAAATTTCCATTTTTGTTTATTAATATCATCAAGAATTGAACTTAAGTACATCTCCTCTCTCAGCTCTAAGGTTCCAAGAGTGTATTCCGTGAAAAAAGTAGTCTTCCATCCAAATTCTTATATCTAGGGGCTACTGTCATTGAGACAGAAATCTGTCCATGTTCCACTCCTAACCTATGAAGTCCTGCTCTACAACATCCCATCAGCTTCCCACTAGGTGCTCTACAACCTCTTGCTGTTCTTACCATCTTCCAAAGGAACATCTAAAATTTTGCTTTCACTGCCAAACCTGTAATTACACCTCTTCACCTCCACTGTCAGCAGATGACTCCTCTGCTACTGTACTGAGAGTAAGTCTAATCAGGTTCTGTTCTCTCCTATTCTTAAAAACATCTGTATTAAAAACCCATGTTTGGCCGGGCGCGGTGGCTCACGCTTGTAATCCTAGCTCTCTGGGAGGCCGAGGCCGGCGGATTGCTCGAGGTCAGGAGCTCGAAACCAGCCTGAGCAAGAGCAAGACCCCGTCTCTACTATAAATAGAAAGAAATTAACTGGCCAACTAATATATATAGAAAAAATTAGCTGGGCATGGTGGTGCATGCCTGTAGTCCCAGCTACTCGGGAGGCTGAGGCAGGAGGATTGTTTGAGCCCAGGAATTTGAGGTTGCTGTGAGCTAGGCTGACGCCACGGTACTCACTCTGGCCTGGGCAACAAAGTGAGACTCTGTCTCAAAAAAAAAACAACAAAAAAAACCCCATGCTTTTTTGCCCTCAGCCTCTAGAGGAAAAGGAATTCCTATTTTCCAAGGCTAAGCAAACTACAATCTGTACCTTGTATCCAAATAAATACAAGTTTTCATTACCATAAAAAAATCCTTTTACTAATCTTAAGATCCCCATCTCTACTTAATTTCATTTCTTCTTCCCTTCATTCAACATCAGTCACTGATCCAAGTGCTCAAAAAACAAAGATGAGTAATTCATCTTTGTCACAGTTTATTAACCCCACTGCTAACTTTCTGAGAAGTATTTCACATTTATTTTACACTTGCATCCATTTTCTCATAAGCCACTCTGAATCCTTTACAAGCTGGTTTGCTTCCTTAGAGTGGAGGGGGAAACACAAATACCCCAAAGTAAAAAATATGAGTAAACTAATTAAATTAGTTCATTCACTTATTGAAAAGACAGGGCATAAAACTGTATAGACTACAAACTAATTTTAAACAAAACAAACACACAGAACAAAGACTGGAAAGAAATACATTATGAAGTGGTTGCATTTCTCCCCGGTGGTGGATATCACTAAGCATTCATAGCACTGCTTTCTTGGGCTTCCATATTATATTATTCTGACTTGCTACTTCTATAGGTCCTCCACTGGCACCTTTTCCCTTCTGTTCCTTAAAAAGGCTTTCATCAAGGTATCCGGTTTTAGAGGCCTCATATACCTTCTTCAAGGCTTCAAGTATCACCACTGCTTAGATGACCCATGAATGGAGCTCTCTCTGATTCTAACCAAAGCTAGGTGTTTACATTTGGATATTTTATCATTACCCTCACATGATACTGCTTCCTTTATTGAAATGCCTTCTTTCGGCTTACCTGTCAACTTAGCAGATTTTAAGGCTTAACTTAAATAGTACTCTTATTATGACATCCCAGATTCAAACGAACTTGCTTAGATGGCTCTTTTCCCAAATCACTATTTCTTGAACATGATTTCTATATCATATTACACCGAAATTATTTATTTATATATCTGTCTCCCTGCTGGTCTGAATACTTCTGGAAGATACTGAACTCTCTTTTCATCTTTCTATCTCAACATCTAGCAAGGATCAGGTTTGGCACGTTGTGCTCAGCATATTGTAGGCACTTGAGAAATGAATGAATGAAATGGTAAATAAACCCCAAAATAATTTTTCCAAACTAGCATTCTTTTAGAAATAATTAGTATTACAAAAGGAATACGTATGTGAAGAAAATCTACAAAATACCAATAAACCTTTTAAAAAAAGCCTCCCTGAATAACTTCCAAATCTTTCTTTTTTCCTTTCATAAACACGGTCATCAACATTGTTGTAACTTTCTAAAATAACTTTCTTCCTTTTGTTTTTCTATGATTATATCCTTAGGATAAATTTTTATAAGTAAAACCGATGGATCAAATTCTTTTGATTTCTCTATTTTGATTTACCACTTGTTTCTGAATTAGATTGGCTCATGTTTGATACTTCCCACCTGCCCCATACATAGTCAGTTTAATTCTACCCATGTCCCTTTTTCAGTCTCTCACGTACATGTCCCTCATTCCTATGCAGAGCAAAAACTCTTAGATTCAAGTTATCCATGGCAGCAGGTAGAAGATAGAGATTTCTTGGGTTACCAGTTGTGTGACCTTGGAAAACATTTTCTCCATGCGACAGTATCCTCATCCATGATATGGGAATAATAATTGTACTTACCTCATAGAGTTTCACACTTCAAGAGTACTTAGAACAGTGCCTGGGGCTCAAATGGTAAGGTCTTACTAAGAACTGAATAGCCTGCCATTTTCTCTCTCCATCAAAATATTATTTACGTTGCCAACAGATCACATCTTCTTAAACCACCCACATAACCACCCTTCTCCTCAGCAGTTCTCCACTGCAAACAGAAAAAGTCCAATTTACTTAGTCTGGCTAGGAATAATGTCCTCCTCGAAGAATCAAGCTTACTCTGCTACCTTTCCTTTCATTAGTTTCCTTTACAAAAACTATCTGTTCCACTAAAATAAATCTACTTATTTTCTCCTAAATATTTCCATGTTTTTTGCTGATTTAAATTATAAAGCTCAAACCAACCAACCAAATAAAATTGCAACTCCTCCTTGAGGCCTGTGTTGCCTCCCACAGGCTTAAAGTGATTGTTCCTCTCCACGAACCTCTACACTCTCTGTAACATACCCACGGTATTCCACACAGTCCCTCTTAAATTATCACACATCTTTATATGTACACATAAGTACATCTAAATAAAATGCCCTCCAACTATATTATAAGCTCCTTCCTGGTAGATAGATATTGTATCATATTTGCAGCTGCTAAATGTTAGCTAATTTGGTAACAGAGCTTCTTAAAGTTGTCATTCCAAAGACCTTCATGAAAGTACTTTACATTATATTGTACTGGATACATTCATTTTATACTGTTCTAATGTACAGTAGCAACATGCCAGAGTATAATTAAATTGGGTAAATGATCATTAATATCCTCAAGCCTTTTGATTTCCAAATGGAAAATGTGAACAAAGTGATCCACTGGGTATACAAAGAAAAAATTTATATTTATTTATTTATTTATTTAAACCATGTTTGGAGCTCAATATATTTATTTTTGATGCCACTTTTAAAAATTTAAGTTTTGTGTAAGTTTTAGTGTATATAATTTATCAGTATAGTGATTTGTATATATAATTCATAAATAAACATAACATATGTGCATTTTCTTTAAACTGACGACGTGTATAATTATGTAAGTATGGATATGACTGCCATGGAGTATTCTATGTGGGCCCTGAATCTTAAAGGAATGGTATCACCAATTTTAGTAGAAATGATTATTCACCTATTTATACACTGATAAACTTTTCTAAGAAAATGACTATATAAAATGAAATATACCATTTCTAGGTTTTATCATACATTGAACTTTAGTACAAGAAAAATATAATGTTATAGAATTAAATCACATGTTGTGGATTGAGATGATTCAAAAGTCCTCTTAAAAAACCTTAACACTTGTACCCCCATAATACGCTAAAAAACAAAAAAAGTCCTTTTAAAAATATTTTGCTTTAATGAAACAATGATCTATATACCCCCCATAAACCAATCTTTAATATAAAAATTAAGGACCAATAACTTTTTTCTGTTATTCATTATTTTTTGTTTTAAGCAAACATTAACCTTTTACTTATTTTAGTCTACAAATGTTGGTCTCTTAAATTCAAGGGCATAATTAGCTACACCATAAGAATTATTATAATAATTAATAGACTAATGAACATATAAGGGAAAGCACAGAATTAAGAAAACCTGGTTCCACCATTACCTTTGTTTTGTGATGTCTGGTAAGTCACTCTGTCTGTCTCTGTTTTCTCATTTGTACAATGAGAGTGCTGATTGGACCAGATGATTCTAACACCCTTCTCCAGTTCTATTACTCTATGATTCTTACCAAATCACCAAATCAGAGCAACAACAGGCATGCTATTTTCTTTATATAATGTGCTCAATTATTTGTTCATATTACTTTTATATCTCTCTGAGAAAGATATCTAAAACTGTCTGGGTGCTTGCACAAAAAGGGCAAAGATAGATGGTTATTGGTGTGCTCATGGATGCTCACGGCACTAAGCAATTTATATTATTGCACTCTACATGTAGGTACATGCTCAACCCAAAGTTTCTAAATGCATAAGGTGAAAATACACAGTTTGTATTTTAAAAGGTATTTAATCAGTCACAAAAGGACAAATACTGTATGATTCTACTTACACAAAGCACTTAGAGTAGTCAAATTCATAGAGACAGAAAGAAAAATGGTGGTTGCCAGGGGTAGGGGGGAAGGGTGGTTGGGGAGTTGTTTAATGGTTGTAGTTTCAGTTTTGCAAGATGAAAAGAGTTCTGGTGATGGATGGTGGTGATGGCGGCAACAATATGAATGTACTTAATGCCACTGAACATGGCTGGGCGCGGTGGCTCACACCTGTAATCCTAGTATTCTGGGAGGCCAAGGTGTGAAGACTGCTTGAAGTCAGGAGTTCCAGGCCACTGAACAGTATATTTAAGAATGGTTAAGATGGTAAATTTTATGTTATGTATATTTCACCATTTTATTTTAAAAAGGTGTTA